ATTTGGGACAACACGTCTAACTCGGCGTAGAAAGCTCGGATCGACCTCAAACCAAGTTTGTTGTAATCCTACTGGACACAGCTTTCACGGAATGTATTTTGAGTCCACAACGGAGCCGGGGCCGAGGAGATGGAGCCTAAAAAAGGGGCTCCTTGTTATGGAGGAAAACGTGGATTTACCGAAGCCACGGAGCCCCTTTTTTAGGCTCTATCTCCTCGGCCCCGGCTCCGTTGTGGACTCAAAATACATTCCGTGGAAGCTGTGTCCAGTAGGATTACAACAAACAAACTTGGTTTGAGGTCGATCCGAGCTTTCTACGCCGAGTTAGACGTGTTGTCCCAAATTAAAATTTGGGACAACGTTGTCCCAAATAGCCGTGCCGATAATTGTTGTGTCCGGTGCACATGGTGCCCGTCAAACCTCTGGGCAGATGTATTCCGGCACTGACTGCTGTATATTTGTGTGCATTTTTCAAAACAGACTTTATGTGTGTTTTGTTTTAAATTATTTCTTCGAGTTGGTTTTTGGTTTTCGTTTGGCAGTACACATAAAAACTAGTCTAGGTACTTTGCATCTTAGTAGCGTTGGCTGGGTCCACCCAATTCCCCTCGAAAAAGAAACGGCGACATCGTCTGCCGGGCGGGACGCTCCTTTCCTACAAAACAAAGTAGGAATTCGAACAGCTGCTCATTCTTTGTCCAATAATACATAGTTCTGAAATCGCTCATACCCAAAGTAGTCTACAGTAATAGTACGTTTTTTTTTCTTGCGGTGCGCAAGCAAGACGCAATTCTACTAGAATTTGTAGACGTTCCATGCCCTACCGCATGGCGAATGCCATATGCATATCGGGGTAGAAACACGGACTCACATCATTCGGATATATATGTGCACTCTAGAGAGTACACCCTGGCACGCCAACGGTACTGTGTCACTTTCCCCGCAGCAGCGAACACCAGCGAACACCAGCGAACACCATCCAAAAATGTAACGGCCGTGTCCATCAATAAACGGCTGGACCATCGGTAGAGTGCTGGGGCTGTATCCTCTAGGCCAAACACACCTTCAAGTCCTACACATGTATCGTACGGACCGACTTAGACAACCCTGGCGGGGTCGACACCCTGACAGGGTTCCTGCCCGTGGACCTTGTGGAGACCGATTACCTTGGCAGGGTGTCACAGCGTCCTTACAGGGTCTATTTGCCTGCAAGGTCCGCACAGGTTGAGCCAAATGGCTACAGGTAGGTAGGTGAAACTACTAATAGATCGGGAGTTGGTAGTATTTTTTGGTTGAAAGAGGAGGGGGTTAAACACCAGGGCAATATTCTTTTTTTTATTCCTTTTCATGCCCCACCTTCCTCCTGCGGTGCGTGCTGCATTTTTTTTTTTCTCGAGAAGTGTCCAGCCGTGTCCCTTTCCCTCGTCAACGGTGCTAACAACGTCGAAGTTTGGTACTCACGAGAGCTTATTAGCTATATTTCGCTTTCACCCGCAAATTTCGTAATTTCTTCATCCCATGGGGATTCGAACTCACGACCTCTCCGACTAGCGGAATACGAGGGTACCACTAGACCACCGGGGCGACCGGACTTTAGGACAGTAGGCTTGTGCGGGAATATACACATTGGATTGCGTTCGTTCGCAGTGGCCCACATACCTATTGTCAAAAAAAATGTGTTGGAAAAAAAAGACACCTCCACACGGACTCGAACCCATGATTTCGAGAGTCGGGGTGGCCTTCACCGAGTTAACAAGTGAAATGGCTTTTTACAACTTCGTTGCCAAGCGACGAAAACCCAACGCCGATGGCAAACACCCGTGGGGAGGGAGGTGTACTCCGGGGGGGAGGGAGGGGTGTGGTCTATCAAAGAATAGGGCGAGTGTTGGTCACAACTCTACGAACCCAACCCACTACGCCTTTCACCACATATCCTACGACCTTGGAGAACGTTCCCCACGTTCTCCTCGGAGAGATCGTCTCTCGGGGCGATGTCGAGATCGCCAACGCCTCGAGCCACAAGGAAGCGTGCAACGTTACGAGGGACCTGAAGCCGTCTTCCACGAGGCTTCCTCGGATCGTTGACCGTGACTTTTGTCCGAGAGGGATGCGAGGGCGTGCCCTCGCACACCTCTCAGCACTCTTCACTTCTGTCCCCATCTCATCTCGAGATTCTGTCTCTTTACTGAGAATCACAGTCTGTCCGGTGATCGTAAACACCGCCCCATATCTGTGAGCGTTGCCTGAGTGGAATGCCTGTGGATACAGCGTTGGAGATTCGCACCTTCCTGCGGTGTCGTTGAGTTCAAACCCTTATTGGCGCCAGCCGACAGTTCTTGCCTGTGCACGTACTCGAAACACCCCATGTCCACTCTTGGCAACAACGCATCCGAGGGGGGTCACGCTGGCGACCACCCTCCGGCGGGCGAATAGCCCGAAAACTTCAATTCCGCCGACGGAGGCGTTATCTCCGTCAACGGTGCCGCACGCGACAACCCCAATGCTGGGGGTAACGCCACCGGAGCGAATGCTGGAGGCGTCGCCATTCAAGCAGCCATGGATGTCGACGAGGAGGAAGAAGAACAACGCTCCGACGCCCATTCGTCTGTACCGACCATCCAGATAACTCCGCTCCTGTCCGGTCCCTCCAACATGGACTCCACCATCCGCCTCCTCCAATCAATCCCACATTTACAGAAAATGCGCCAGATTGGAGGCCGGAGAGATCGACCAATTCTCCGAACAGACCATGACGCTAATGGAGTGCTTCTGACGGGTCTGTTGTTGTCCAAATAGCCAACCCCTCTGCTGATGGCGTCTGCCTTTTAACAGGCTTGTGTCTCGGCCATTTGTACAGTCTGTTGTCTCTACCGACCAGCGTCACGTCAATGCTGTAGCGAATACCCCCGTCTCTGACGAGGACATTCGCCGCGTCAGGTCTGACCCCGAAGGTCCCCTGTCCAAAGCGTTTTTCAATTCCACGTTCACGAATGAGCAAAAGGAAGCCGTCCTAGACTTGTGCGCTGAATAACTTCCCGTTTATTCTCTGTCATTGTCTGAACTAGGACGTTGTACGATCGCTGAAGCTACATTCCCGGTGCCAGAAGGCACACGTCCTGTAGATCGTCCTCCGTACCGTCCCAACCCCCGCGCCTCTGCCGTCATCGACAAATGTGTCAGAGATGTTGGAATGGGACATCATAGAAAAACGACCAAT